CACTTTTAATCGGTTAAGCTTTTGTGACCTGCGTTGTTACTAACTCTTCTACAAGAAGCTTTGCCGTATTAATTATAGGCAATGTTAATGCAGCCAATTAAACTGTTAAACGGTTAGTTCCCTTCTTATAATGTAAGACAGAATATGAGTGTGAGGAAAATTAGCCAGCATCGAAAGATTTTCTTAGTTCTTCGCTATCAAAACTGATTTTTGAGTGTTCAAATGGTGAGTCCAGTGTTTGAAAGGCTCCCTTACTCGGTGAGAACATTCATTTGTAGACTGTCCTATATGACTAGGATAATGTAAGATTGGGACAACAGATGCATTAAGTCTTGCTGTGGGATTTTGGAGATATACCAGTTGAAAGCGAATTAAAATCCTTAACATCCTGGGTTGGCAGCGCTGCATTAACAAGTCCGAGCGAAAATGCTTAACAAGTCCGAGAATTTTCGCGCCTGATTCACTGGCATGCGTAGTGTATGTGTATGTATGTGTGCATTTTTATGTATGTATGCATGCATGCATGCATGTGTGTGTGATGAAATTCGAGATTCACGCAAAAATATACACCCGTTTCCCAAAAATATTCTTAGCTCATTATGAAGAATTATTGAACAAACAGTTATCCACTTTTTTCCTTCCATTAATATTGAATTTGTTAATTAATATACTAATAAAAATTTTCCAATTTGTTCAGCACATACTTCGCGGGGAAACTGTGTGAGAATAAGTTATTAGCAACCGAACAATATGACTAAATGAGATTCTAAACTTCGGCCTCCGTGCAATAAAGGAATGATGCGAGGTGCCAGTCCGTTTATAGATTTTCATGGCCTGGATGGGTTCGTCGCTTGTAGCATGAAATAGATGTCAGATTGGTTGGCCTGCACAGAAATTTCCGTTGGAAGTGATCGAAGTCGAGAACGGATTCCACAGCAACCATACCGATAAGCCATCAGTCTGCTTGCTCATAAATAAAAGTTTCCAAACAGAGAGCCAGTTTTCTTAGCTGTCAATCAATCTCTTTCAAAACGAAAAAAGGTTCCGGGATAGAATGGACGGGTGCAGAGGTAGAGAATGTGAAAAGAGCGATAGCGAGGTGGAAGAGGGAGAAGAGATAACTAGCAAAGTG